ACGAAGGATGTAATTTCATTCATCTGGAAAAATGTCATCACTCGGTTCGGGGTTCCCATGTCTATGGTTTTTGATAATGGTCCCCAATTTGAGACGTCTGTTCTCAAAAGCTGGTTGGGTGACCAAGGAATTGCACACTACTTTGCATCTGTCGGCCGTCCACAAGCAAACGGCCAGGTAGAAGCCTTTAATAAAATCATCTCAGACGGTCTCAAGAAAAAGATTGAACGAGCAGGCGGCCTATGGGCGGATGAATTACCACATGTTCTCTGGGCCATTAGGACGACTGAAAAAGGGGCGACTGGAGAAACTCCATTCCTCCTAACTTATGGTGCGGAAGCTGTTCTTCCAATAGAACACTACGAGCCGACTCTTCGAGTAATGATATATGACGAAGAGGCAAACTGGGAAGCCATGCGCCTGACATTAGACTCACTTCCTGAAAGGAGGGGCAATGCTGTCTTGCACCATGAAATTTACCGCCTGAGAATGACTAGATCATACAACAAAAAAGTACACAGGCGTCCACTCAAAGTGGGGGACTTTGTACTTAGAAAAATGGAAGCAGTTGGTAGGGCTAATGAGTCTGGCAAACTAACTCCCAACTGGGAAGGACCCTACCAAATCTGTGAAGAGGTCAGGGACGGTACCTACCGTCTGGGAACACCAGACGGACAACTGTTGCCTCGAACTTGGAATATAGATAATCTTAAGAAATATTTCTTTTGAATAATGTAAATAGTCAAGGCTACTTAATAAAAGTTTGCATACTTAATATTCAATTTTTTTCTAAGAGGGGCACGCCTACTAACAAACAGTCGGCTACTCTCCATGTTTAATTTTTATTCTTAAGAGGGGCAGGCCGCCTATACATTTACAGTCGGCTACTCTCCATTGAGTATTTTACTCTATCTTCAGAGGGGCATGCCGTCTGTACCTTTACAATCGGCTACTCTCCATTGAGTATTTTACTCTATCTTCAGAGGGGCATGCCGCCTGTACCTTTACAGTCGGCTACTCTCCATTGAATATTTTACTCTATCACCATAGGGGCATGCCGTCTGGACATATAGTCGGCTACTCTCCATAGAAGAGGGCCGACTGGTTCCAAACACACAACCACCCCCCTTAAACTTAACTAAAAATGATCAGGGCCTGGCCGACCCTGTGCCTAAACAGGCGGCTACCCTCCTTTTACTTAGCACCTACGTTCACCAAGAACTAACCAAGGCCACAGGCCGAATGATCAGACCAGGCGCCAAGCCAACTGATCCAATCTTCAAAACATACGACCTGTCCCAACATCATAGCAGGCGTCCGGCGGCATCCCTCCGGATGAAATTCGTCGCAGAGAGCAGCTCCCTTTTGGGTGGAACATTGCTCTATAAAATAATTACACGGCACCTATACGACTGTCCCCAAGGGCAACCACGTAGCCGTTTTTGAGACAAGGATAACTCTATCACTAACCAAACCAGTGGTAGCAGTTGACATCTGAGTCAGATGACCGCCTGTATTACTTGAGATAAATGCAGGGGGTACCTCTTGAGTTAATAGGCAACAAACATTGGCGAATCAAAAGGTTCAGCCGGTCTCCGCCGCTTGGTACCTTTACTACTCAAGCAGGAATGACGGCGACTGAGTAACACCAAAGTTAACTCATAGTCACTCTCTCAAACTTAGTATGGAGCCTAAAAGGTATGAGTCGTCCGCCTGTTTTTAGCAAACAGGGGCTCTCAACCACTACTCTTGCTAGGTTAACAACCTATGAGTTAAAAGCCAACAAATATTGGCGAATAAAGGGGAACAACCGGTACCCACCGCTTGATACCTCTACTACTCAGTTACTTGGCGACTAGGTAACAATCATGTTTACTTGGTCACTCCTTAAAAATTTAGTATGAAACTAAAAAGGTGTTCATACAGCACCGGCTCACACTAGATTAAATATGGCGGGGAACAGTCGGCCTAGACGACCTAAAGTCTCTAGCCTAAAAACATGACAAGTAGGAAACCACTTTCCTACTTGGTTAATTTTATATGACAGAACCACCTGCCTAATGGGGATCCAGTCTTTAAAATGGTTCGAATACCGATTGGATAAATGGCCGACTGATCGTCTAGCCTGGAAACAGACGACCAGTCGTCCAGGGGAATAGGCGGCGTGACTAACTATCCGTACCTGTCTGCAACTATCGGCCATGTAAAACAGTCGGTATAGTGTACAATTGGATATCAGAATATTCAATACTTAAACAAATTTGAAGCAAAACAAAAAAAAAATCATTAAAAAGAAGCCCACCAAGGGTGCCCCCTTGTTGGGGGAGTCGGTTGAAGACTGTTGCATGATGGAGGCCCGCAACATGGCCGCCGCAGTCTTGGAGGCGGTAATTTTGCTCATGGCATCCGCTGCAAAAACAAATAGCAAAGTTAATAAAAGTCATAACAAGAAATGCATGGAAAAACAGAGTATTCGACAGGCCGGCTACCTCTTGAGCACCGACTGCTGAGGCCACAGGCGGCCAAAAAGTACTCGCCGTAGAGCCATTTGAAGCTCGGGACGCAGTGCAGGGGTACTTGCTCTCGTACCCCTGAAGTAGAGTTCACCTTCGACTCTACTTTGAAGAGTCCTTTATCTAGGATCTCTTTCTTAGCCTTGGGGGGAACAGGCGGCATGCTGCGGCCGCCTGCAAGAAGGGGCGGATTCCTGTTCCACCTGTTGAAGCGCTTGTTCAGCTCTGTGTCTGAACTCTCAATGATGAGGAAGGTGCTCCGCCAGTCCTTCCATTTGTTTGCTTTACCTCTCGTCATGAGGTAGCCCCTGTGGCTCGTCAATTGATACCAGCCGGTACCGCCTGCCTTAGGGGTCCAGCTGAGGTAGTTCATGTGGGCGAAAGCCTCGAAGCTCGGCTCCACCCCGTGCAATTTGCACCCGGCCACATAGCCGAGTACGTTGACCCAGGAGTTCGGGGCTAACTGCCATAACCCCAACTCATACCCATCCAAGATCCGCTGAACAGCTGGATGTAGTGGGTGCGCAGCCCAGCCTTGATGGCCGCCTCGTAGCAGCCAAAGCAGGCGCCATCATAACTGGTACCAGCCGGCCATACGACTGTGTCTTCTGGATCCGGCACGAACACTAAAAAGCCGGGGCCGTGATCTGGCCCCGAGGTACCGTGCAGTAGTAGGGGGTATATTGCTCTCGGTGAGAGGTAGATGGCTCCGCCCAATCGTCCCCCTTCTCAACTGCGTGAGAAAGCCTCGCCTCTTGTAGGCGACTGTTTTTCTCTTCTGTGTCCAGGGAAGCATGGCCAGAAGAGCTAGACTCGGAATCGTCCTCTGACGAGTCAGAAGAGGACGACTCCTCCCCTCTCCCGGAGGGGCCCGCCTCCTCTCCTTTAAAAGGAGCAGGAGAGAATGTAGAATTGTCAACTGTAAAATGGGAAGGGGTCACTTTGACTCCTCCCTCAGAACTTCCGGCTTTCAAGCCGCTTTGTTTCACTTCCACATCTGGCGCCTGGTTAGATGTTTCACTAATCGGCACCCTGTGGGAGGAGCCGTCTGAGTTTGAGATCCTGGCAGTTTTTTTTGTTCTGGCCATCATGCTCTGCATAGACACAGATACAGTCGGACTTTGTATAAAGAGCAAAGAAGGGTCCAGAAAAGGGCAGGCGGCACTCCTAGTCCTAGATTCAGCCGTCCCCGGTGACCGGCTGATCACTAACCTAGGTCGTGTCGTGTGCTTCCGTGGTGCCATTTCAAAAAAGAATAAAGTAAAGAGAAAATTAAGAGTAAGAGAACCGACGGTTACCTGAACGAGTGACGATTGATGAAGTTCTGAAAATCCTTTGCAGTCGGCTTGTCAGAGCAGGCGGTAGGCAGAAAGGGTCCAAAATGTCAGAGCAAGTTCAGGGGTCCGAATGTTCTCTCACAAAGTTTTCAAGTGTGAAAATGACCGAAGTCAACACTCCTTTATATAGGCGAAGTGAGAAGGCGAAGGGTCACTTCCAGAATTCAAAATTTTGGCGGGAGAATCTCTCGGCCTCTCGCCGAGTGACACCTGTAGCAGGCCGTCGCCTGTTACAGGGCGATACCTGTCACAGGTAACACGTGACCAGTCACGTGCCACCTGTGAGGGGCAAATGATTAGGGGATTTTTCCCCACCAATCACCATCTGACAAGTGGACCAATCAGGTTCCGCCATGTGTCCGTCACATGGGCCAATAGGAGCCTGCCACGTGTCAAGCAATGATCCGTCCACTATGGACCAATTACGACACGACACGTGTCCTTCCCATGACACCTGGGACAACCGGTCACCTAGGCCCAACTTCCGAGGGAAGCCCAATCAGCCCAAGGTTAACCTAAACCTAGATTGACACGTTTCCCGAGGTTATAAATACCTCCCTTAATCCTCATTAAGGGAGAGAACACACTAAAAACGCAGATTATACACATTAAACACTCTCACCTAGAGAGACCCAATCACTTTAATTTCCGCATTAATTACTCCTTAACCAAGTACTAACTTGACCGTCGGAGGCGGATCTCCAATCATCCGGAGCATCCGTTTGTTTTGCAGGTACATGCGTCCGGTTCCAGTCTCGGAATTGTAACTCTCCCGCAGGACATCAGAAAACCCCGAAACACCTATCATGATACTACCTTGGATTTATTTAAACAAAGCCTAGCATGCTACTACACACTTAAATAATTATCGAGCACGCGAACGTACCTCGAATATGATCTCAAAATCACCACGACTGCACAAAATCACTCACTTGGAAGTCTCCTACAACCCAAAATTACAGAGAGACATTAATACCTATTCACAATAAATTTTCAGCAATATATATACACTCTTTGAAACACTTTTCAACCTTCTAAAACAAGCTGAAAATTAATTTAAACCACCTACTTTTCTTCCCAATTAATGGGTTATTAAAAATCCTTTCTTTTTTTTTTTTTTTTTTTCAACAAGAGCAAATCATTCATAAAATCAGAGTTTACAACCTACAAAACAAGAACTAAAACTTAAAACATGGCTTTTAACACTTAAGCCGTTACAACAACTTTTGAGACTATAGACGAAAATAAACTTGAATTGGCCGGATAAGTCGCAGATTAGGGACTCCTTAGAAACCAAGGAGCAAAAACATACTACACTCCATAAAGAGAGCAACGGAGAGGATCGAAATTGTTTGACCATGGGTAGCAAATCCTTACGTGGCGGGATCAACTCATCACCAAGTACGGTCATCAAACGGGTCACTTTACCTAGTGACCTTCCAATCAATAGCTTTCCTTGTTGGCAAGAAAGCTTTGACAACTTCGAGGCTCGAGAAACCCCAAAACAAAGTTTGGGCGCCTGCTTCAGATAACAAGAATCAAGAGTAATGATCACAAGATTCTTTACATCTGAGGGAACAGAAACCAAACCAGAACTACTCCAACAAAGAACACACTTCACCTTAGCCAAGGCCAACTTCTTGTTCAAACCCCCAACAACCGCACCTGTAACCTCTCTTACCACAATAACCACACCACAATCCTTAACACAGGATCTTAACTCCCACTGCACACAACCATCCAAATTACTATAGCCAAAACAACTAAATAACCCGGAAAGCAACCGAAGGAGGCTAAAACATACCATAACACAAACTAAGGAAAGTAAACTCTAATAAATACTAAGAACAAACATACTTAAGAAAGGGAAAACCAGAGGAGGGCACCGTCCTAATCGAAACCCCGAGACCACTCACACAAGGAGCCTCGAAACCCTAACCCTAACCCTAACTTCACCGTTTCCGTCACGAACCACTCCTGACGGCGGCGTTAGGCCTAGCCCTCTAGCGTAAGGACCCACGAAACCCTTACCCTAACTTTACCGTTTCCGTCACGATCAAACTTACCAATGACCTTTCTGACGGCGGCGTTAGGCTTAGTCCTTAGGCCACTTTGTTTGCCAGCGATGTTCTTTGACCGTGAACCACCCTCTCAAAGGTGGGTAATAGGAGGCTTCTCTAGGACGACTTAGCCGTGGATTGTGTCACCACAACCCCTTCAAGATTGAAAAATGAGGACTTAAAAGATGAAAAGAGGGGGACGGCTAGAAAGAGAAGACGGAGGAGAAGAGGAGGCGAAGCCTCGCCGGCGTCTACACCGACTTGAGGGATGAAGGCAGAGGAAAGCAGCGGAAGGTGAGGAAGGCTGAGAAGTGAATGAAAGGCGGAGAAACGCCGGCTTAGAGGGATTGAAAGAAGGAGGAAACTCGCCGGAGAAATGGCTGCGGCGCCGGATCTCCGACGAGCACCTAGGTTTCCGAGGGGTGGGCTGCTTCTGTTAGAGGAGAGAGAAGAGAGCGTTTTTAAAGTATACTTTGTTAGAAATCCTTTCAAGAAACATAATTCTAGCCTCACATAAAATGTTCCAGCATTATAAAAACTCTTAAGCTTTCTGTAATTTAGTTTAAAAACATTAATTTCAATAGTTTTAACCAACTACAATCAAATTCCATCAATAAACATTAATTTAGAAACCTAGGGTTTTAATTTGGGGCTTTTTAATTCAAAAGCCAAATCTAAAAATTATATTATATATATATTAATCATGATTAAAGCATCATAAAATCATCACACACACCAAAATCAATAATTAAATCAAGGTTGGATTAAATTAAAACAAGAGATTTTTTTTTGATACACACAACCGCACGCACGCACAGGGGAGGGGGCTGCTGCCTGCGGTTGCTGCTGCCGATTGTTGCTGGTGGCGGTGGTCGGCCGGTGGGAAGTGGTGGTGGTGGCGGTCGACCACCCTAGTGTGCGTGTGTGTGAGTGTTTGTGAGGGAGAGGTGAAAAATTAAGGGAGAGAGAAAGAGATTTTACCTTTGGGTATTCTCCACCTTGGCAAAGTTTAATTTGCTCATATGATGGGTATTTGTACCATCTCTCAAAACCCTCCTAACTTAAATTCCTTTCTACCCTTAATGATTCCTACTCCTTTTCAAAATGACATTTGACTTTCTTTAAAACTCCATTAACTTTAAAATTTCCTTATAAAAAATAATTATGCCCCAATGTTTCTAATTAATAAAATAAAATATTTTTAAAGCAATTAAATGAATAAAAATGGAATTTCAATTAAAATAAACCTTTTTAAATTATTAAAATACCATAAATAATTGATTTCGAATTATTTAAATACTTCATAAAATAATGTTTTAAATTAATATACGTAAAAAAATACGGAGTATTACAGTCTACCCCCCTTAAAAAAAGTTTCGTCTCGAAACTTGGGTAACGAAAAAACAACATTTTTCCTTACTTGTGTAATATTGTTGTACTCTTTTGACATAGTTTTACTTTTAATGTCTCTTTGAAATCAAAAGTACTCGAAATAACCGTTAAAAATGTGCAAAAAGCACGAAAATAACTGAAAATAAAGGGGAAAAAGCGCGAAATTCTACTGCATTCTACCCCCTTAAAGAAAACGAGTTACTTCCCCATAACTCAACATACCTCAAACAACTCAGGGTATTTCTTTCTCATCTCATCCTCAGCTTCCCGAGTTGCTTCCTCATATTCTTGGTTAGACCATAACACCTTAACAATCTTAGCTTCCTTGTTGCGTGTACTACGCACTTTACTGTCAAGGATCTTGACAAGTCTTTCCTCGTAAATTAAAATTTTATCTAACTCAATTGTTTCCGGTTGTAGCACATGTGACTTATCAGGTATATACCTTTTTAACTAAGACACAAGAAATACATCATGCACCTTACTTAGCTCCATAGGTAAGGCCAACCTATAAGCTACTTTGCCTATCCTTTGCAATATCTCATATTGACCAATATACTTTGGGCTAAGTTTTCCTTTCTTCCCAAATCTCATAACACCTTTCATTGGTGACACTTTCAACAACACTTTATCACCAACTTCAAACTCTTCCTCTCTTCGCTTCAAATCTGCATAACTCTTTTGACGGTCTTGTGCTGCTTGAATCTTAGCTTGAATCTCTTTTAACTGCTTAACTGTATCTTCAATCATTTAAGGTCCTAAGATCATTGTTTCACTTATGTCGTTCCAACATACCGGGCTACGACACTTTCTTCCATATAATGCCTCAAATGGTGCCATACCAATACTCGCATGGGATCGATTATTGTAAGAAAATTCAATTAAGTCCAAGCTATCTTCCAATCCCCCTTGGAAGTCTATGACACAAGCTCTCAACATATCTTCCAAGGTTTGAATAGTTCTCTCAGTTTGTCCATCTGTGGCAGGGTGAAATGTTGTACTCATCTTTAATGTTGTACCAAAGTTTTCCTAAACACTCTTCCAAAACTTTGAAGAAACCTAGAATCTCTATCAGACACAATAACCTTTGGAACTCCATGTAACCTCACGACATTCTTGATGTAAGCTTTTGCAAGTTGCTCCATCTTCCAGGTCTCCTTCATTGGTATGAACACAACAAATTTGGTAAGTCTATCCACCACGAACCAAATGGTATCATTTCCACTCTTTGACTTTGGGAGGCAAGTCACAAAATCCATCGAAATGCAATCCCATTTCCACCCAGGGATTTCCAATGATTGCACGGTTCCTTGCGGTCTCTTGGCACTATTTTAACCTTATGACAAGTTAGACACTTTGCTTCTAATTCCGCAACTTCATTCTTCATTCTGGGCCACCAATACATCTTTTTCAAGTCTTTGTACAGCTTATCCCCTCCAGGGTGAACTGAGTATGGTGTATTGTGTCCTTCCTCCATCAATTTTCTCTTTACTTCCTCACATTTTTGTGGTACACACCATCTACCTTTGTACCTTGGACTCCCATCTTCATGAATTTTGAAATCTATAGCCTTTCCTTACTTTATTTTCTCACGAATCCTATCCAACTTTACATCTCCTGCTTGATTTTCCCTTATCTCATCAAATATTGTTGGTTGAATGCTTAGATTCGCAAGTATACCTGCTGGTACTCCCTATTCCACCACTTCTAGGTTCATTTTCCTCATTTCCCTACACAATTCATTAGCCACTACCAAAGTGTTCAGTCTATGACTGGTTTTACGACTTAGAGCGTCTGCAACTACATTTGCTTTCCCTTCATGGTATTGTATGTCCAAATCATTGTCCGTTGCAAATTCTAACAATCTCATTTAGCGTGAGTTTAGATCTCTTTGGGTGAAAATGTACTTCAAACTTTTATGGTCAGTATAAATTCTACATTTCACCCCATACAGGTAATGCCTCCAAATTTTTAATGCAAAAATGATTGCAGCTAATTCTAAATCATGAGTAGGGTGGTTTACTTCATGAGGTTTTAACTGTCTTGACGCATATGCAATCACCTTTAATTTCCATTTTGCATAAGCACACATCCCAAACCATTCTTGGATGCATCACTATATACGTCGTAGATCCCACTATCATCTGGCAATGTTAGCACTAGTGCTGTAATCAACCTTTGCTTCAACAGTTGAAACGCTTTCTCACACTTCTCATCCCACTCGAACTTCTTGTCCTTCTTCATTAGAGAGGTCATAGGCTTAGCAATCTAAGAAAAGTCCTTCACAAAACGCCTATAATACCCTGTTAAACCCAAGAAACTCCTAATGTCAGACACCGTCTTTGGCGTAGGCCATTCTTTTACTGCTTCAATCTTCGCTGGATCCACTTCTACCCCATCCTTGGACACAAAGTGACCCAAAAATGCTACTTTCTCCAACCAAAAATCATACTTGGAAAACTTCGCATAAAGCTTGTTCTCCCTTAAAGTTTGTAAAACTGGTCTCAAATGTTCCACATGTTCTTCTTTATTCTACGAATACACCAATATATCATCTAAGAACACTACGACAAACTTGTCCATAAAGATTGCTGGAGCATTCGTCAATCCAAATAGCATTACTGTGAACTCATAATGTCCATACCTTGTTCTAAATGTAGTCTTGGGAATATCCTCATATGCGATCCTCAACTAATGGTTTCCGGACCTTTAATCAATCTTGGAAAACAAAGATGCGCCCCTCAATTGGTCAAATAGGACATAAATCCTTGGTAATGGGTACTTGTTCTTTATGGTGACCTTATTCAACTCCCTATAGTCAATACATAACCTCATACTTCCATCCTTTTTTTTAACAAACAACATTGGAGCTCCTCAAGGCGATGCACTTGGTCTAATGTACCCCTTTTCTAGTAAATCCTACAGTTGCTCCTTTAGCTCACTCATTTCTCCAGGTGCCATTCGATATGGTGCCTTGGAAATTAGTGTTGCCCCTGGGACCAATTCTATTGTGAAATAAATTGCTCTCTTAGGTGGCATACCTGGAATCTCTTCTGGGAACACATCCAGAAACTCATTTCATGTCTATGTTCTCAGGCTTAACTGTCTCTTCGTGGTTCAAGTTCCTTACACTACAAAAATATATTGGATGTCCTTTCTTTATATACTTAGCCAAATTCATCATAGAGATGAAACTTGGGCACTTTTCTTCACCATGCTTCCAATGTGTTACCAGCTCACCCTCAGTTGTACTTAACTACACTTTCTGCGATCGAGAACGAATCTCCGCACTATACATGCTCAACCAATCCATTCCCAAGATGTTATCAAAGTCACTCAACGAACCCTAATTCAAGGAGGTCAGACAAAAACACCTTTCCTTTGATCACTAATGGCACATCCTTAAAGGTTTTAGTACACTGTACTACCCCTCCCATAGGAATAAATATAGATACTTCTATGACATCTACGGTTTTCAAACAGTGTGATAGCTTTGAAACAATGGCTTTTGAGATGAAAGAAAAAGTTGCACCAGAATCAAACAAAACTTTAACAGGAATAGAGTTAAGAGAAAAAGTACCAGTAATAACATCCTTCGTAGTATCAGCTTCATGCCTACTTATCATATTCAGCTTTGTTGGAGCTCCACTCTTCACCTGACCATTCCCATTGTTGTTGGTTTTCACCCCACTTTGCTGTGCTCCTTTGTTCCCTGCTTAGTTGTTGCTTCCTTGAAAGTTCATTTGAGCCCCTCCTTGATAATTGCCCTGCTAGTTTCGGTTAGAATCTTTTGAGAAGCACTCATACTCCCTATGTCCCAACTTGTTGCAAGCACGACAAGTAACTAGGTTACTCTCGTAGTCTCTTCCAGGGTAATTATTCCTACACCTCTTACAAAAATAACGCCTTCCTTCCATATTATTTCCCTGGGTAGAGTTCTTAGGCCCTTTATTAAAATTTCGTCCACCTTGACAATTGTTATTGTTGAAGTTGTTGTTGTTGTGGTGGTATTTCTACTTCTTAAAATTGTTCTGGTTACCTTTAGGGTTTCCAGAGTTCTGTCCCATCTCTTTTCACTTTTCCTTTCCTTCCACCTAAGCTAATTCCTTCTTTTTCTTCAACTCCAAATCACAAAGGTGTGCAAACCTCCCATAAACTTCATCCAAGGTTTCGAACACTTGTCCACACAGCTTTAGTTGAAGATCAGTACATGGTCAATCCACTCTCAAACTTCCTAGACTTCGCCTTTTCTGTAGCCACAAATTCTTTGTCAAACCTTGACAAATTAATAAACTTGGTATAATACTCAGTGACATATCTCTGTAGGGTTTCGTAGTGACCCGACACTACGCGGAAGGGAACCCCCCAAGACCCGCCCCTTAATTAAAGCAATTAACAAGCATAATAAACATAATTAAGCAAGACTAAGAACAAGAATTATACCTTTGTTGCGTGCTTCGCTCCCGAAGAGCTCTTACTTCAAAATCCCGAAACTACGAGATCTCCGATGGATCGTACCCTCGACCCGACCCGAGCGTCCCAAGTCTTGAAGGTTAGTCAAGACCCGGACAAATAAAACTATGAGTTTTACGAATCAAAGGTTTACTCTAATTACAAGAGTTGCCTTTTTAATTCCACTTAAGGTTGTATCTTCCCAATACCCATGCCTTTGGTATTTATAGGGAAGAGCACCCTTGATTTCCAATCTCCCATCAATGTGGGAGAGTTGGTAAAATCAACAATTTATTTAATTCCAAATTAAATAAATAATCAACTCAATCACATTTTGACAAGTGGCACAATCACATGCTAATGAGTGATGGCCAAGGCTAGGTGGGGGGACCATTTGCCTTGCTTCCCAAGGCCCTTGATTGGTCCCCACAAGCAAGCGCAAAATCGGCACAAGGAGGGCTGGCTGGCTGCCAGCTAGCGTGCCAGCTAGCACTGCCTTGCTGCCCAGCACCTCCATCGCACGCACAGCACGCATCACCCAGCCCTCCCAGCACTTGCGTGCTGCTAGCGAGCCACGCCTTGTGCTGGGCGCTGGGCGCTGCTGCCAGGGCATCACACACACTCACGCACAGGCATGCGTGGTGCTGCTGCCTACCCTATCTCCCACATGCTCGCATAGCCAGCATGCGTGCTGCTAGCGAGCCACGCATGCTGGCCCTTTGCCTCGCCAGCCAAACGCACCAGCCATGCACCACGCACCAGCCTCGCATACACTCACATGTTGCTGTTGCTGCGATGCCTTCTACGCACACGCACACGCACACAAGGCCTACCATGGTGTTGTGCTTGTGCGAGGGGCCTGCGATGGTGCCTAGCACCCAGGCACGCATGCTGCGATGCAGTGCCATGCGAAGGCACGCATGTGCGCAGGCATGCTTGCTGTGATGATGCAATAGGCTAAGGCACAAGCACACGCACACACGCACTGGCCTAGCCATGCGATGGTGCTGTGCTTGTGCTGCGATGGTGCGATGGGCTGCGATGGTGCGCCTAGCACACCTAGTGTGCTTAGGCTTGCGCCTAGCCATGCTAGGTGCATGCTAGCTCGAACTAGCCTAGCATCCACATGGTTAGACCATTGTGGTGCTACGGCTACGCTCGTACTTGTCGCTTATGATTTTGTGACACTCGGCCTCGACGCCCTAGGCTCGATATCCGACGTCTGTATTTGTAAAACTCTGTCGACTCATTAAATCCTTTCGGATTAATTTGTCGTCTCGGATCGGTGATTCAATTGGGTTCGACCCGAAGGGTTCAGTTAAGATTAAGCTGTAATATCAATTGTACCTTGATATTACTGATCGGAAGCTGCCTCCACCTAGGCATTCCGATCACTTGATCTTACTGAAGAATTAACTCTGTAATAATTCTGAACCCTCTATCGGAAGAATACACTTGTTGGAAGGACACCATTCCTTTCAATCTCCCATTGCTAGGTTGGAAAATTCCTCAGCCTTCTGTTTCTATAAGAAACTGGGATAAAACTTATCCCTAACCTTCTCCTGAAACATAGTCCAATTGAAACCAGGTAGTGCTTTGATGGTAGTCTAAGTTTGTTGCCACCAAAGGTCAGCTTCACCCTTGAGGTAATAGGTAGCGCAACCCACTTTTGAATTTTCTGGGCACCCTACTGCCCTAAACAGTTTCTCAAACTCCCTTAACCAGTTTTATAATACTATTGGGTCTGGTTCGCCTTGATAGGTTGGTGGCTTGCTTTGCGCCACCTTCTTGAACAACTTTCCCTAAGCATTTCCATTGTTGGTCGAGTTCCTTGCTAGCTGCTGGGCGACCACTACTAATTGCTTTACAACCTCACTCAATTCTCCTCCTTCATTATTGTTCCCACTTCCTCCTGCCATCTTTCTTCTCCTGAATTAGTACAAAGGGGTCTTTATAAATTATGGTCATGGTTAGCTCTCAAGTTAGACACTCATCCAACTAACTTATACCATTCACACACCCACATTTTAATTTAAGCTAACAAGTTGAGGTTGCAAAATTACAACTCCCAAATCTTGCAGCTTGTTCAACCAAATTTTTGATTGCTAACCAACCATACATTTAATAAAAAATCACAATAATAAATAAAAATAATTCCCATGGTTTCCCAAAGTTTGTTGGAATATTTGAGTAAGAAATGGCTCATTGGAGTAGTGATATGAAATGAATGATTTGAAAATAAAATGAATTATTTGGCAGTAAAATTAATTATTTGGCAAGGAAATGAATAAAATTTTATTGCTAAGAAAGAAAAATGATTGGAAAAATAAAATGAAATGAGTTCGAATAACCTACGCAACTCAATAGGTTTATTGACTTACTGTGGTCATGCCACTTATTACTTTACTGAAAAAGGAGATAATTAAAACTGCGGAAATGAAACTAAGAATCCTAAAAGAAATGAAACTATAAAAATCTATTCCTTTCGAACATTGTCCTTCTTGTCCTTTAATTGTTTGTAGTTTCCAGGATCCAATTCAGGGTCATCTTCCTCTTCCATTGGTTCAGTTGTCTCTAGATTTTGCTCTACTTGAATAAACTCTTCATCTTCCTCGTCGTCAGATGAAATGTCAATAATGATTAGAGTTAGGGGTGGATTTAGATTCGGGATTTCCATAATGGAACTATCAACAGTATGATTACTCTCATCCATAAGCTCTCCTTCCTCTTGCCCTCCATTTGTTCCTGCTTGATTACTCTGTGGTGGGGAAGAATTTCTTGATTGATTTCTA